CGCTAGTTAAAACGGAAAATCGTATTTTAGAAAATTACTTGGCCAAATGTGTCCGTCAGCTCTTAGACTATTATAATTATATTTTCCATCTTTTTTAAGAGAAAGAATATGACATCCAATTATCATTCCTTACATTACGAGAATGATGTCAGATATCCTTATACTGACAGAGTAGCGGTAGGAGAGGATTATGTTGATTTCATCTATCAATTTGTGAAGGATAGCAATATATCCACAAAGGACTGTAAGAATACTGCTAGCCTAAGTAATATTCGTAATAATATAATTGGAATACCTAGCAATTTTCCAAGCCATGAAGATTTTCTTTTGGTATGTGTATTTTCTGTTCTGTAGAAAGTATATAATCGCAAAATCTAATTTATGCTACATTTGGTAATATTCAGTACTTTTTTTACTCTTTAATACAGAAGAAGTATGATGTTGATATTTCAATATCTCCATGGCAGAAACAAGTGCCATATACTCTTGTACTAGAGTTTGAAAAAGATTATTATTTTCATCATATTGGTATGTAACATTTGAATTGATAAATAAGATATTGTTAAGGAAAATGTTTGTGTTCAAAAAAGGTTATAATTTTTATTTTGAAGATCTCGAGTTTCATGAAGCTGTATATCCAATCAGAATCTCTATATATGAAGTATATAATTTTGGGAACGTAACTGAAGTTTGGGCTCAAGATTCTGAAGATGAGGGTCGGTGGATTTTATTATGGGATGGACCGCCTCAATTCTACAAACTTCGTCAACCAAATTTTTTCAAACTTTTCACGTCGGAATCACGGATTTTTTCTCCAGCTTTACGGTCTTGTAACTTTAAAACCAAAATGCTCAGACTACAGTTTATATCCAACTCTTGCACACAGCTAGATGCTGTGATGCTGATCGGTACATCAAAATTGATTTTTCCTAAAAATCCTGAAGATAAGAGTATAACTAATCTCTTACACCGCATTCGGGCACAACGACATTCTTGTTCAGAGAGATTTTGTCCTATTCGTTGTTCTGAAGAATTCTCAAGAATTGAAGAAGAACCATTTTCTATGGACTACTACCTTCATTACTGTAAATTGTTTGACCCTTATAATACAACACGTGATTATAAAAATGCATACTTGGATATACTTGATCTTCAAAAGGAATTTTTTAAATATTGCGTTATTTATAAAAGGTATTATAATTGTCGACATTAAGTAATTTTATATTATTTTCTTAACACTGCGCGGACACTGTGGGACTTTTAAGGCACAGTCGATTTTTCATTTATGATTCCCACGGGAATAGCTTTAGCGCTTACGTTGGCTCTCCTCCACAAAAAAACTTGGTTATAGTGGGCATGTAACTGCCAAGCGAACTGTTCGACAGTTCGTTGCGCGATCGAAGTGTAGTGTGTGCCTTCAAAGACCCAGGGGGTCCACCTCGGATGTTAAACGACAGACGGAACAGCGCATGTTACGCTCGGCGTGTCGGCTACACGGATGGAGGAGCTTGTCCGTGCCTTAATAGGGCCTAAGCAGAATGGCTGTCTTGGCAGTGTTTTATATATGCCTTAAGGTCATTAAGACAGCCTTTCTGCTTTAGGCCCTTAGAGTCCTTCTAATAAGAGTCGCGACACGTACGTAGCAGCAACTTTTGATTGGTTCGCATTTTCGGCAAAAGTACGTGAAACAGAAAGAGAAAGAAATATAAGAGAGAAAGAGAAAGCGATAAGAATGTATATCGCTTTCTCTTTCTCTCTTATTTTGCCGAAACTCAAGATGTCGTGACTCTACTATGCCTTAGGGATCTTTTAATGAAGGATCCCTTCTGTGCCTTGCAAAGCCATGCCCTTTACATGCTGTAGCATGCTATTTCGTCTGCCGTCTAGCATCACTGGCTCTATCTCGTTAATTTTGTCCACGGAAAAGTAATTTTGCATTTTACGTGTTTTTTTTTTTTTTTTTCAATATTGATCCTACTTATAAATAATAAATAAGAAGTAACCTTAAAAAAAAATAGCATTGCTTTTGTCTTCCGAATCTCATTTTTTCTGTATACCAAAATTAAGTACCAATTTTTAAGTCCTTTAATAATTCAACTTCTTTTAGGTTCTCTTCGTGTATTTTTCTTTCAAGTACCATTGTTGAACTATAAAACCCTTGAATAATTTTTTTTAGTCACACATTCCAAAATATGCTATTATTTATCAAAACTCGCATTTTACAGTAAAAAGAAATTGCAATAGTTCCGGCCTCTGTAGAAATCACTTTTTGAAATTTTAAAGATGACACAATGAATTTTTATAGATTTTTTATTACATAGAAACGCTTTTAAAAACACGTTGTCAGCGTAGTGTTAATAATAAAAATAAATTTGTGTTCCAATGTTATTTGCAGCGACATAGCAACGAATTTTCACAAGAGCAAGCTCGCGCACAAGCAAGTATTTCGGAAGGAAGATGTGCCATCTTCTAAGCAGGGATATGTGAATCACCCTTTATTAAGAAATCATTGGAATTATGTGAAATTTATAGAAGATATCAAACTCTCTTCGGGAGAATCCAAGGAGCAACGTGACAGTTTTTCTACGCTTTCTGTAAAATATTCGAAGTTCATTTTTCGTAATAGTTTATTATAATATAATCTCATGTATTAAAATTTTATATTTTGTTTTTGCAGGATGAAATAATACTAATGATATTAAAATACTTGGATATGAGGTCGTTTTGCC